GTGAGCCCCGACTCGGTGCAGCTGGAGTGGAGCGTCCCCGAGGGCACCTTTGACTCCTTCACGGTGCAGTACCGGGATGCCCAAGGCCAGCCCCAGGTGCTGCCCGTGGACGGGGGTTCGCGCACGGTGACCGTGCCGGGGCTGTCACCGTCCCGCCGCTACAAGTTCAACCTGTACGGGGTGTGGGGTCGGAAACGTCTGGGCCCCGTCTCCACCGACGCCGTCACAGGTGAGGGGGGCTCTGGGCCCCAGCTGTGTCCCCTTTGGGCTCTGGATTTGGTGTAGGGCAGGAGGTGGGACAGGGCCTGTGCTGGTGCCGTGTGGTTGTGGGAAATGGGAACCTGTTGGTCGCTGCTGGGGCTGGGTGGAGGTTTGGGTGGATGCAATTTTTGAGGGATGGAGGGATGGAGTGTGGGATGGTCTGAGGATGGATGGAGGGATGGGCGGGTGGATGGTTGGATGGACGCGTTGTGAGGTGGGCGTATGGAAGTGTTGGATCCCGGAGGGACACAGGCGGAATTCATTGGACGTCGATTTGGGCAGAGGAGTGAGTGGTCAGGTGCTGTGATGGGTCAGTGGAAGAACAGATTGAGGCACATTTGTGGGAGAAATCTGCTGTGAAAGAGATTGGATGGAAACAGCCGGGTTGGATTCTTTTTGGTGGAAGGGATGGATGGATGCATGGATGGATGGATTTGTAAGTAGAAGATTTAATGGATGAATACATGGATTGTTGGTTGGATGAGGACCTGGCTAATTATGGGATAGATGAAAGTTTGAAGAAGGAATGGTTGGCTGCCCGGGTGTATCGAGATATCACAGGATCAAATGATCATCTGGGTTGGAAAAGCCCTTGAGGCTCCTCCAGCCCAACCATGACCCTCCCCTGGACCCTTCCCAGCTCCCCCAGATCCCTCAGCGCTGGCTCAGCCCGACTCTTCAACCCCCCCAGGGATCCCGGAGACTCCCCCCTGCCCTGGGCAGCCCATCCCAACGCCCAACAGCCACTTCTGCACAGAAATCCTTCCTCAGAGCCAGCCTGACCCTGCCCTGGGCAGCTTGAGGCCATTCCCTCGGGGCCTGGCGCTGGGGCCTTGGCTCCAGAGACTCATCCCCCCTCTCTGCCCCCTCCTGGCAGGGAGTTGCCGAGGGCCAGGAGGTCTCCCCTCAGTCTCCTCTTCTCCAGACTGAACCCCCCCAGTTCCCCCAGCCGCTCCCCAGCAGCCCTGTGCTCCAGACCCTGCCCCAGCCCCGTTGCCCTTCTCTGGCCACGCTCCAGTCATTCAATGGCCTTTTTGGGGTGAGGGGCCCAACACTGAGCCCAGGGATCGAGGGGCGGCCTCCCCAGGGGGCAGATCCCGTCCCTGTCCCTGCTGGCCACGCTGGTGCTGTCACAAGCCAGGATGCCCTTGGCCTCCTTGGCCCCCTGGGCACGCTGCTGGCTCCTGTTCAGCCGGCTGTCAATCAACCCCTCCAGGCCCCTCTCTGGCTGTCAGATCTCCAGCACCTCATCCCCAAAGGGATAGTTGATCAATTGATGGACGAACAGATGGGGATGCTGCAACTGTGGCTGCTTCCTGGACAGATTGGTTGACAGGAATTTCTAGATGTGTGGTTGGATGAAAGGATAGAAGAGTGGGTGTGTGGACGAATGGATGGATGGAGGGAGGAAGGGAGGGATGAATGGATGGATGGATGGATGGATGGATGGATGGATGGATGGATGGATGGATGGATGGAGGGATGAATGGATGCATGATGAACTGGCTGACCAGAAACTGCGTGTCGGAGGAGGGAGCTGGTTTACTTGGTCGATCTCTGCGATGGTTGGGTGATGGGGTGGATGATTGGTCAGAGGGATGGTGAGTGGAAGGGTCAGTGTGTGACTGGCTGGAAGGGTGCTGGGTACAACAGTGTTAAGGATGGGTGTAAGGCCAGGTGGGTGGAAGCTG